CCCTATATAATAATATGCCAAAAACTCATTATTTTTTTTGGTTCGCTCACATAGATATTTTCATGTGCAGCTTTCAAAATGGACACGCAAGTGCCCTTTGATATATAATGAATCTACTTCGAAAATTTGGATGGGCTAAACAGGAACAGAAACAGGTATTGAAGCTGTGCATTAATTTTGTAGGCCCAATTAACTATGCCCAACAGGCCTGGTCGTCCATGCCTGTCCAAGAGAAATTTTGCTGTGCTTCTTCTAACTGTGATTACATTCAACATAAAAAATATGGGCCATGAGAAGAATTACTAAACCCAGTTTTTCACCTTAGCCCAATGGCCAACGATTGTGAGAGGTTGACCCAATAGGCCCGAATTTTATTCATAGAAATTGAGCGTGTAGTGTCACGACCCAGCTCGAAATGAGAGTGCTTGAAGGAACAAGCCCATGACCGTGGTCCGTGCTATAAATGAAACTGATATATTTTCGTGTCAATATTTTTTTTTTTTTACAATAAATAATAAAACTATAAAATTTATTTATTTGCACGTATATATAATTCGTAATATTCTATTTATTAATTTATTTAATAATCTTGATCACGAAATTGATTATAAATATTTGGTAAGTTGAAACATTAATTTGTTAGCTCGTGATTATTTATGCATTGGACTAGTTTTTATTTGGTTTATTATTTAACTATAGTTAATTTAAAAAAAATGGTATGGTTAGTTGATAGTGAATATATTAAAATAAAATTTAAATAAAATAATTAAAGTGATTTGATGTAAAGTATGAGAAAAATGATTGGAAGTGATAGTTAGTTAAGATTATGTGAATGAATGAACAATGAATTAAAGTTAATATAGTGTTTCCTTTCTTAATTAAATGTATCATATATTTTTATAATCGGGGATCAGGAGTGCGGTCCCACGCACGTGAAGTGCACCATAAGAGGGTGAGCTTAGGTGCACCATAGTGATGTTCCATCCCAACACCAATTAGTGAAAGTAGTAGTAGTCTTCTAGACTTAAAAGTTATGTCTATTTTTCCTGTATAAACAATGTGGAACAACTCACAAGATGCTACATAGTTGGTTCTCATCCTTCAGAGACTACGAGTGTAATAGGAGCATCCGTGGACAAAAGGATCACCCTAAGATGGTGATATATATTCTAACAAAGAAAATGTGTCAGAAAATTTCTAATAATCTATATATCTCCCTCTATCTTATAAGAAAACCACATATCCCCTTTATTTGCCTACACGTGACAGCCTTCTTTGCTCTGAGAATAAACGACGTCGTTTGGTCTACCTTAATTGTTAATAAGGCACAGCACAAAAAAATTTCTCCCTTTTGCCAGAATTCCCGTTGGTCAAGACGACTCTTTTCTTCCTTGCCCCGAATTCTCGCACACACGCAAAGTCAGAGAGTCTTTTCATTTACCCACCCCTCATTTATCTCTCTCTTCTGTCGGAGGAAAAAAATAGCGATCGGCATTTCCCAATATCCTCATTCTTTTCATTTTCCAAACCGTTTCTTCTCTCCTGAGTGAATT